AAAATGAGATGCAACTAGCAAGAGAAATTGAGAGCTACAGTAAGTAATTTTTAGGATGACAAAGTCTTTGCTTCACTTTCCCAAAAGGAACAAGGTAGCTGACTTGGTATAAAATGCTTCTTGACTAAAAATAATGTAACTGTTTGGAGCTCTTTGTCATCCTTAAGTGAAAACTAGTACTGTGGACGCTGTGTCATTTGGCATCTATCCCACACCAGAATCTTGAATTTTCTACTTGCATTTTGACCTGACTAGTGCTAACCATGGTTATTTGCAATGCTCTCTGCCTGCTTTACATTTTTTGTATCTGACATGCAATGTGCCTTCCAGAGGAGGTCTTTTAATCTCATCTTTCTTCACCCTCAAGCTGTGTAGACTTTTCTCCAGTCAGTGCACAAAGAACCTGCTGAGCCGCTCCTTCCCCAGCATCAATAGGATTTTCCAACGTAAATCTCTCATCTATCAATGGATTAACATGTTTAAAATGCAACTCACTGAGTGGATTAAAGAGCTCAGGCATGGGTAATAAGATATAGTACCTTTCACTGCAGTAATGCCAGTTCAGATCAACCCAAGATGTTAGTGACTGGGAGTTACCATTTGAACTGCATCAACTGAGTATGGTTATAAACTCATGTCATGAATTTCTCTCTGGGCAGGATGGGGAGCTAGTGAATGGAGCAAGCTGGGCAAGCAAGTTCCTGCCCATTTCAGGGAATAGAAAGATATGCATCCAGATTTAATTTGGACAGATTTTAAGATATTTGATAGAAATAAATTGTGCTGCAGTGGGATTTCTTGTTTTGTCCTTTTAAAGAAAAGGGGTGATGTTTGCTGAGGGTGGAGCAAAAATCCCAATATCATCTTTATTAGTCATAATTTTCTTCAAATGTGAATTATGTTTGCAGTAATACTTAGAACTTTTTTTAGTTCTGCAGCGCAGGTGACATGGCCGAGGGCACTGACTGGTATCCTCTGGCTACCTTCTTGGGACAGTTGTAGCTATATCCACCTCTCCCTTCTACTGCAGATTGCTCTGACTTTTTTTTTTTTTTTTTAAGGGACAGCTCCCTTTTGTTTTTAAGCATTTAAAAGCCTTTTTTGCATATACTTGTCACAGTACTTAGCACAACCAACATTTTTTTTCTTTGAAAGTATATAAGCTCCTATTACAGAAGTAATGTGTTTGGACCCCCTTGAGAAGGGAGCCACTTGGAAAAATGAGTCACAGTCTATTTCTAAACCTTGAAGTGATGAGTATGTGATTTTTTTTTTTTCTCCCTCCTTTGAATTTTTGAAACCATTTGTCAGAGAAGATGATCTGCAGCCTTGGTTAAAAAGAAGCAATCATGTGGCAAAACAGTTTAGGAGTTCAAGTAAGGGCCAGAGAAACTATGACCCATATGAAGGGTCAGGTATGCTGTTCTCCTTTTGTTTTTGTGGGTGTTGTGGGGTTTTTTGTTTGTTGGGTTGGTTGGTTTTGTTTTTTTCAGTTCAGTCATTCTTTTACTTCTTCCTGGAAGTAGTTGGTAATGCAGAGTTTGGTGATGTGTAGTGTCCTAAAATAGACGTCTGCATTTTGAAAATACATCTGTTAAGTAGAACAATTAGTGAGTATGCATTGGTTTGTTTTTAAGATAGTTCAGATGGGGTTTTTTGTAAGGTTTGTAAGGCTACAATTGTTCTTATGTCATTTTGTCCTTTTTTTTCAGGAAAATGTTACCAAGCAAAATTTATAGCAGAAACTAGAACTTACTTATAACCTATTATAGTGAAATGGAGACATCATGGTAGTTTTGAGCAAAAGAGAATCTCAGCCTCTTTCCTGTGCTAGTAATTAACTTTCCTGCTTCAGCTGAAGTGCTGTTTCACATGATAGTTTTGTCATCTGTGTATGTTACTATAGTAGAGATAATACTTAAGATTTTCAGGCAAAAGATGATGAGTAAATTATCATCATTACCACTTTTCTTGGCTGCCTAATACTAGGTTCAGGGATGTTAGTACTTATGTGAATGGAAATGGACTTCAGTGCAGCAGTACTGAATACGCATATGAACAGATGTCGTAGCAGGAGGCAATTGCGTGTTTGAGAGTTTGCATGGGTCCATGGATTTTGTGACTGGTCTCATGGTAGCTGTGTGAACGTTGACTTTTTTCTTTCATGAACTTCCGAAACTCCTACGCCCCCATGTAGATTTAGTTCTTTCATTTCTATTGTGAAAATGAACTTGGGGAAATAAGGATTTGGTGTACAGGGATGGGTATTTTGAAAGGATCCTTGAGCATGTGGAGAATGTAGGAGGAGACACGGTGTATGCAGGGTAACTCTGACAGCTGGTGGGAGGGTTTAATGGGGGGGGGGGGCAAGGGTCCAGCATGCCCAAGGCAGCACGGCAACCCCATCCAGACCAATGCTGTTGAGTCCAGGATTCAAGGTGTAATGACTATATAGCTATTTTGAGAGCCAAGAGGGTCTCTGCTACGGCTGGAACTGTCTGGAAGAGTGTGCTTAATGTGTTCTTGCCTATGGCTGCCACCAGTTGCTAGTTTTCAGGTATGGGTCTGAGACAGTATCTGTTGAACCCTGTATCAAAGTTGAATGACCCTTGCTGGAAAGTAAATGCAGATTTTCCACCCAGCATCTTTGAATGCGAAAGCTCTGAATTCATTTTAAACACTTGCCTTTTTAAGGGTTGAAAGTCAGTGCTAGGTGTCTGTGAAGAAACTAAAGGCTGTGTGAAAACATCTCAGAATCAAGATTTAAAGAAATAATCTGGTAAAAGTAGCAGTTATGTCTTACTCAAAAGTTATCAATAGCTCTCAGAATGGAGGTTGCTTTTTTAAATGGCCTGTAACCTCACCAACTTGATCCTTCTCTTCATCCTCTTTTCTTCTGCTGTTTGTTATTCTGTCCCCATTGTAAGCCCAAATGCCTCTGTCCCAGAGAGCATCTCTTGCTAATATAACAGTTGTGTAGTGTCAGATTTGTTGTGTTGGGTCAAGTCACTTGCTTGGCTTTGCTCATGAAGTTAGCAAAATTAGTGTGAATCTACTCTGTTACGCTTCTTGCAATTTTATGTTATGCCAGATGTAGGTCAGGCAAATGAAAGGAATGGGAGTTTTGGGTGTCTCGTACCTTCTATCTTGTCAGAGGTTCTTCTTGACTCTGCTTCTCCCCAGAAAATGCAACAGAGATAAATTGAAATGGATGTTTTTCCTGCCATTGTGGTTGTCTTGTGCCTTCTTTTTTCTGTTTCATTCTGTTTTGTTCTTCCTTCATCTCCATAAAGGAAAGCATTCACAAAGCTCCAGAAATAAGTGATGCTCACATGCTGTGTGGGCTGTGCCAGCACTGAGTCTACTTTGTGTCTAGCCTTGTGTCCCTGAATTCTGAGGCTGAGGAGCCATTGCCATAAAATACTGAAGGTCAATGTTACATTGACATTGGCTTTGCCACAAATTATTTAATTCAGTTCTGGGTGATAGCTGACAATACTACAGGTTGGGTATGGCTCCTGGCCAGTTTTGCCTTCCTGTTTGTGTGGCAAAGTAAAATGATTCAGCTGGGTGCAGTTAGTAGTTGTCTTGAGGCATGGGTTTGCCAAGTATTAAAAAGAGGAGACTAGTAAATAAAGAGTGAGGGTCAGGCTGATAATGGTATGAAAGTGTGAAAAGATGCAGAAGATGAAACTATTGTTTGGCATGTATATGTTTCCTTAGGCAGCTAAGTGCCTGTACAGATTTATTGCCATTTCACTGAATTTGTTGTTAGTGTTAGCAGAGGTCAATGTCTTCCTTGCCTGAGTTAACAGTAGGACTCTCTTGTAGCATTCCATACTTCTGCTGAGGAGGCAGCGACAAATCTGCTAGTGATGTTCCGATGTGTTGCATATATTTGGGCTGTTAGAACGACAGTTCATTGTCTTGATAATTAACAGATTCCAGTTGGTCTGAGATAGGTATTTTTAACTTCAAGTGCTTCTAAGAAAGGAGGACATGAACAGCACCTGCTAATGAACAGTTATTTCACAGTTCTTATTATTCAGAATTATGTTGTTCATTTGCTATATAGTCAATGGTAATGGGGTTGTATATTTTATTATTCATCAACAAGATAGCTACATATCTTCCAGTGGTATGCTGTTAATATGCCAAGCAAATGGCACGGTTAGTTTGTTCTTTCTGTCATTTTCTCAAGAGAGGATATTGTATTTTGTGGTATAGCGTTTCATTCTGATGGATGTAGAAATGGTTGTGCAACCCTGCACTCATTGGTACTGCCAAGGCAAGAGGGAAGCTCATTTTGTCCTTGGAATGAAAAGTGACATCTGTGGGAGCGGTTGTTCTAGGGGGGATTCTTGTCGCAGTCTTGTACCTACCTCAGTAAAGCTGTACCAGCTGCACCTGACAGCTTGCCCTTCACTGCAGGCAGCTGCACTGCACCAGGGAACAGAGCTGTGGACTTCAGGTGACCTTCTAAGCAGCTTGGACTGAGGCAGTCTGAAGGCAGAGATAATGACCTAAGAGAGAGAGCACTTACACTGATGTGCTTGGGGCCTGTACTTAGTATTGTGAAGTTTTTTGTGAAACACTTCCTATGCCAACTCTGCCAGAGTCATATCCAGGGTTCTTCATGTTTGATACCTGAAGGTCAATGCTTTCTCTTTAATCATCTTTGTAAATATTTTGGTAGTTTGCAAGTCTTTGTTTCATTGTTTCTTTATTGCACACCCCCACCAAAAAATGTTTTCCAAATCAAGACTCCTATTTTTTATTTTTCTTGTTTGTTTTGAGTTTGTTGAGGTTTTTTGTTTGTGTGTGTTTGTTTGTTTTGTTTTTATTTTTTTAATCCTCTCCCTCGTTTTCTACCTTCCCCTATCCCCAAAGACTGACAGTGGCTCCCTCACACTTCCCAGTTCTCAATTCTACCCTGATTAACTTTTGAGTCCAGTTGGGAAAACTTACTCTGTTCTTCCTCCATTCCTATTCTGTTGCAGATTTTGACTTGAACTATTTTTGGCACTGGAGCAAGTTTACAGACTACGTGCAGTGTGTCCTGACCTTCACTGGTGTGACCGGTTACATCACTTACCTCTGGCTTGACTCATCTGTCTTTGTGGAAACGCTGGGCTTCCTTGCAGTGTTCACTGAGGCTATGTTAGGTGTTCCCCAGCTCTACCGTAACTACCAGAACAGGTCTACAGAAGGAATGAGGTATGGTGTTTGTCTTATGTAAAACAAGTAAGTGTGTGCATGTAGGTAAATCTTTGTGTAGCGTGGGAATGCTTTTCTAGGCAGGGTAATGTCATCTTTCTAAATTTTAATTGAAAATACAACAGCTGTCAGAGTAGATTCTCTGTCAGTAGGAGATGGTGCAGAACTGCTGAAGGCAGTGGGAGCTCTGTTACACCTCTGAGTTCTGACCCATTGTCCAAGTCCACCTGGACAGTTCCAAGGTGGAACACATTTTAGTAGAATAGGCATGTAAAACTACTGTTGTTGCCATTAGCAACATACTGTAGTTCAACTCAGGCTGTGCTATACTGGTCTACACATTAGAAATGGATTAAAGAGATCTTGCATATCAAAAGTAAGAAGAGAAAGAAAAAATTTTGAGCCTGCCGCAAATAACTGTTAGTCTAACTCACATATTAGCTTATCATTTTTTCTCACATATCTACTCCTCACTTCTTCATAATACATTATTATGTATGTAACAAATGACATTTATTTATGTATAAGAGCTTGTAACTGACATTTAAAAAAGCTCAAATGAGACATTTACAGTCATGACAGGGAAACCCTCTGTAAACATGTGTGGGACAGAAAACTTTAATCTTGTGCCCACTGTTGGGGCGTTAAACTAGATTATCTTTTCATACTGTTTACTGGATATCTCAATCATAACAGTAAGATTTCCAAATTGCAAAGGCAACTTGTAAAGCCTTTTAAGAGAGAAGATGTTCACTGTAGTGCATCAGTGCACTGATCTGTAGAAACAGCATGAAATTTGGTTTACGGAGTGCTGTGATCATTTGTGACTCTAACTCTCTTCTCTTTCATTGTTTTGAGATTAATTCTCTTTCATTGCTTTTAAACTTGCTGGAATAATTTTTATTTTGGTCAAAACAAATAACCACTCCCCACCACCCCCAAACCAAAGCAATTCTGTCCTTTGTTGACATTGTTCACTTTACTTGTTTGGCTTGGAGAGACTTCTACTAGTTGCTTTAAGTTCTTTTCTAGCTTGAAATATTGTTGAAGGAATGTTCAGAAATTTGCTTTGATGCTTAAGGCATTTTTTGATAGGGACCCACTTTGGTACAGAGTGAGTCTTTGCTGACAAGTCAGTGGGGCTCATTGGCAGAGCTTTAAACCAGACTTGAAGGCGAAAAGGGATAACATCAGGCTTGCCCTTGACAAGCTGTGGGGTGACACGCCAAGGTTAGAGGGATGGGGTGCTAGTGAGAGCCCTCAGCCTGTTGCTCTGAGATGTGCTGGCTACAATGCAGCACACTTGAAGTCTTAAGGAGATGAGCCAGGGGCTTCTGAGGTAATAGGAGCCTACAGGGAAACACCAGTGAAATATCTCAAAGGAACTAAGGAGTGTTCCTGTAAGAAGGTGACACGGCCAACAACCCAGCTGAAGTGCTTCTATACCATCGCATGTAGCATGGGCAACAAACAGGAGGAGTCGGAAGCCACTGTGCTGCTAGAAAGCTATGACCTGGTTACCATTACTGAAACTTGGTGGGATGAATCCCATGACTGGAGTGTGGCTATCGATGGCTACAGGCTGTGAGGAAGAAGGGGTGGAGGCGTTGCCCTCTACATCAAGAAATTAATCGAATGTGAAGAGCTGTCTCTGAAGAATAGCCACGAGCAGGTTCAAAGCTTATGGGTAAGAATCAAAGACTGGAGCAACAGAGGGAACCTTGTGGTTGGTATCTACTGTAGGCTGCTCGACCAAGGGGAGTCTGTGGGCGAAGTCTTCTTAGTCCAGCTACAGGAGGCATCGCAACTGCAGGCTCTTGTCCTCCTGGGGGAATTCAATCATCACGACATTTGTTGGAAAAGTAGCACAGCGAGCTATAGGCAATTCCTGAGGCTCCTGGAGTGCATGGAGGATAACTTCTTAAGCCAGGTAGTAGGCAGCCCTACCAGAGGGGATGTGATACTGGAGCTGTTGGTCACCAATGCAAGTGAGCCAATTGGTGACGTCAAGATTGGAGGCAGCCTGGGCTGCAGTGATCATGCTCCGGCGGAGTTTGCAGTTCTGAAGGATATGGGGCAGGCAGAGTGAAGTCAGGACCCTGAATTTTAGGAAGGCAAAATTCCATCTCTTCAGGGAGTTACTCAATAGGACCCCCTGGGAAACTGCCCTCAGGGACAAGGGAGCAGAACAGAGCTGACAGATCTTTAGGGATGCTTTGTATAGGGCACAAGAGCTCTTGATCCCCGGGTGTAAGAAATCAGGAAGGGAAGGCAAGAGACCAGCATGGCTGAGTCAAGACCTGCTTGTCAGACTGAAGGTCAAGAAGGAAGTGGAAGCAGGGAGAGGTAACCTGGGAAGAGTACAGGGACACTGCCTGGTTGGGTAGGGATGGGGTCAGGAAGGCCAAAGCGTGGCTGAAGCTGAACTTGGCAAGAGATACAAAAAATAAGGGCTTCTACAGATATGTTATCCAGAAACAGAAAGCCAAAGAAAGCGTATCCCCCTTGATGAACAAGACTGGCAAACTGCTAACAATGGACAAGAAGGCTGAGGTACTCAACAACTTCTTTGCCACAGCCTTCACTGGCAGTCTTGTCTTCCCACACCTCTTGAGTGGATGGACTGCGAGATGGGGACTGAAGGAGCAAAGTCCCTCCCACTGTAAGAGAAGATCAGGTTTCTGACCACCTGAGGAACCTGAATATGCAGAAATCTATGGGACCTGATGAGACGCATCCCAGAGTCCTAAAGGAATTGGCTGACGTAGTTACCAAGCCAGTCTCTATGGTATTTGAAAATTCATGGCAGTCAGATGAAGTCCCTGGGGACTGGAAAAAGGGAAACATTGCACACATTCTTAAAAAGGGTAGCAAGGAGGAACCTGGGGACTACCGACCTGTCAGCCTCATCTCTGCGTCTGGGAAGATCATGGAACAGATCCTCCTAGAAGCTGTGCTAAGGCATATGGAGGACAGGGAGGTGATTTGAGAGAGCCAGCATGGCTTCACCAAGGGCAAGTCCTGCCTGACCAACTTAGTGGCCTTCTATGATGGAGTGACCTCATCAGTGGACAAGGGAAGAGCTAGGGATGTCATCTGTCTGGACTTGTGTAAGGCCTTTGACACAGTCCTCCACAACATCTTTCTCTCGAAATTGGAGAGGTATGGATTTGATGGGTGGACTGTTGGGTGGATGAGCAATTGACTGGATGGGCGCTTCCAGATGGTAGTGGTCAATGGCTCAATGTCCAGATGGAGATCAGAGTGGTGTCCCTCAGGGGTCCATACTGGGACGAGGAGTGTTTAATATCTTCATCAATGACATAGTGGAATTGAGTGCACCCTCAGCAAGTTTGCAGACAACACCAACCTGAGTGATGCGGTTGACAAGTCTGAGGGATGGGATGCCATCCAGAGGAACCTGGACAAGCTCAGGAAGTGGGCCTGTGTGAACCTCGTGAGGTTCAAAAAGGCCAGGTGCAGGGTCCTGCACCTGGATCAGGGCAACCCCCAGTATCAGTACAGGTTGGGGGATGCAGGGATTGAGAGCAGCCCTGCCGAGAAGGACTTGGGGGTACTGGTGGGTGAGCAGCTGCACATGAGCCGGCAATCACAGAAACACTAGGTTGGAAAGGACCTTCAAGATCATCAAGTCCAACCATTAATCCAGCGCCACCATGTCCCCTAGACCATGTCCTGAAGCGCCACATCCACACGTTTCTTGAACACTTCCAGAGATGGCGACTCCACCACCTCCCTGGGCAGCCTGTTCCAATACCTGACCACCCTCTCAGTGAAGAAATTTTTCCTAATATCCAATCTAAACCTCCCCTGGCGCAACTTGAGGCCATTTCCTCTTGTCCTATCACTAGTTACTTGGGAGAATGTGTGCTTCCAGCCAAGAAGGCCAACTGTATCCTGGGCTGCATCAAAAGGTGGGTGGCCAGCAGGTCAAGGGAAGTGATTCTGCCCCTCTACTCCACTCTGGTGAGACCCCACCTGGAGTCCTGCACCCAGCTCTGGAGCCCTTAGCACAGGAAGAACATGGACCTGTTGCAGTGGGTCTAGAGAAGGGCCACAAAAACAATCATAGGATTGTTCCTGGAGATGAGGAGGCTCCAGGGAGACCTTACTGCAGCCTTCCGGTACTTAAATGGGGCTCATGAGAAAGATGGGGCCAATAGCAGGGCCCGTAGCGCTAGGTCAAGGGGTAATGGTTTTAAACTAGAAGAGGGTAGATTTAGATTTAGACTAGATATAAGGAAGACATTTTGTAAAATGAGGGTGATGAGAGACTGGAACAAGTTGCCCAGAGAGGTGGTAGATGCCCCATCCCTGGAAACATTCCAGTCAGGTTCGACTGGGCTCCGAGCAACATGATGTAGTTGAAGGTGTGTCTGCTTATTGCAGCAGGGTTGGACTAGATGGCCTTTGAAGGTCCCTTCGAACCCAAACTATTCTGTGATTCTATTCTATGATTCTGTGGGTCAGTATTTACTTCCAAAATACTGGGGTATTTTTCAAGCACGCACACACTGCCTTGGAAAACTCTGTGCCTGTGATACCCAGAAGGCAGTTTACCTACTAGACCTCCTTTATGTTCTGGTTTGACTTTTCCGTTTATGTTTTTTATCTGTGAATCATAATGCCATAATCCCACATTATGATAGCCGTTGCCAGATAGTGTTTTGCTTTTCCTTAGCTCCTCTCTGGGGACCCGAGTTTCGGTTTTCCAATTTCCTGTATATGCTATTTAGCAAAAGGAGAAAAAACCCCTTTGTGCTTCACAACAACACTTTCTTTGTAGAGCATTAATCACAGAATTGCAGAATTCTCATCTAAAACTGTTTGGCAAGAGAGTGCTCTGTTTAGTCAAGAGAAGGTAGAATAAAATCTCTCATTCCCCTGCCATCACACAGAACCGGGTCCAGTGATAGCCACCCTCCTTATTGGCTATGCCCACAAGTTTTCCAGAATGCATTCCCCTCTCTGGTTCTACT